TAGTTGTTTTGTTAATGTCATATATTAAAATAATAAACTATAAAATTTCCCCAATAATTTTTTAAAACAGTAAATCAACATATGAAAGGAAATCTATGTACCTGACCTGGGAGGTATGTCTTGCAGATGCTTTTACAATGTTTCAAAACTCATATGTATGGTTTCTAGAATGGATTTTACCATTAATATGTGTATAAATTCCTTCCTAACTATCACCATTCTCAGTAAGTTAATAAAAAAGGAATTATGTGACACCAGCTAAATCAGGAGTTCCCAACCTTTTATAAGCATTGAGCCCTTACCAGGAAAAAAGGGTTTCCATTGACTCCCCTTCAAACAATTATTATTATAATTCTAAACTGTATGTTTATAGTACATAAACAGTGTTAAATTTAGATTTTGTTCAAATGGAAGAGCAATGTATGTACAAGTAGAATTTTCAATTTGTTTTTAGTCTTCATCACAAAATATGTTATCATTTTTAATACCTAATTATCTTCAATGAAAATAAACAGGATTATCCCTCTACATAGCACCCAAAACATGATATTGAAAATTTCAAGATAGTTACTCTAAGTGTTTGGATTTTTTAGTCAATATTGTATTATATTAGCTCTAATAAAATTTTGTTCAACTGATTGAAATAAGCACAATATTCCAATAATATTTTATTGTATAAAATAATATTACATACAAGCATAAAGTCAATACTAGTAAATAGAAAATGTAAAACAATATTTATAAACAATAGTACAGAATGTAGCCTATAATAAAAATAAAAGAAAATAATATATTTATATCTATATATATATAAATATATTATTTTCTTTTATTAATATATATGGACATGTATGTCCCTATATTTCACTTTTTCGCAAAAACTACACATCGCACGTGAATGATGTTTGTATGTGGTAGTAGCCCCAAGTCTCTATTCGTGCATAGGGATGGTTGCGTCTCGATAGCTATAAGGGTGCGGGAGATATGGGCTTGAAAGTGGTTGAAAGTGTCTTTCTATTTCGAATGTTTTGTTCGAATTTGTTTGAATTTAATTTGAACAATGTTCAAATTTGTTCGAATTTGTTTGAATTAAATTTGAACATAAAATTCGAATATTGGTTCGATTATAGAACAATCGTAAATGTTCCAGAAACGTTAAAAATAGTTCGTTTGACCGGACGTGAACAGGAGACGTTCAGAAATAGAATCGGGACCAGGTCTCTAATTAGTCTGGAAACAGGGGACCTAATTCTTGCATTCTGTGAAAACGGATAAGATTAGCTATAATGTAATTATCTTAATCTTCACTATCGTTACTTTTTGCCCAGCGAAGCGGGTCCTTGCAGCTAGTTATTAATAAAATGGTTGGGTTTGATGTTTAGATATAATGTTTGAAATGTTTGGTTCAAAATTACTTATTATTATTCATAAATCTCAGTGTTCTGATATATTTCATTTACTTCTACTTTTACTTAATAAATTATTCAGGTAGCTAAAACTGGCCTCCACTAAACTCAAAAAGGCTAACAATAAGGTCTCAAATATACATTTTAATACTGGGAATTTTTGCCTTATATTTTTTGAATTCAAAATTTTGCATATCTGTTTGTTTTGAACAAAATTTTTAATTTGAGATCAGCTCTAATTTCAATTAATTCTTCTTGTAAAGAAATATCTATTCTGGTTATATCACATTCAAATGATTCAATGATCTACGATGGCACATCTAAGTTTTTGAGATCTTTAAAGCAAACATTCATATCTTTTTTCAATTTTTTCAAATAATCAGTATATAGTAATATATCGTCAGCAGAAATTTTATCTGTTTTGAGAATAGATAACTGTCTTAAATCTTCAAAATAATAAAGTAGTTAAAATAAATTAATTTAGTTAAGAAAAATGTATTTCAAAATAAAATATAATACAACATAAATTTTATTTAATTGACTCCAGTTAACCACTAATAGTTCATTGACCTCCAGGGGGTTGATATTGACCCTGTTGGAAACCTGAGCTAAATCATGTGGCTATTTTTTGCAGCCATAAGAAATAATTCATGAGAATCACTAATTTCAATCATGTAATAAAACATTATAACAAATTATATGATGATATAAGTTTAAAAAGTACACTCTGGAAATAAATTTAATTAGGAAGATTTGTAACTGTTAATGTCATTATTTTTATATTTTTAACAAATTAGAAAGTACTGTATGTAAAGAGGAAGATCAAATTTGTGATTAAAAAGTCTAACAACATTTTTAAGTGTACTTGCTGATTTTTTCACTGCATGTGTTTTGAACATTGTGAGCATTTGGAATAGATATGTCTATAATGTATGTGATTTTATTGTGTTTTGTTTGTCAATGAGTGTGATGTCTGGTCTATTGTGGTAAATTGCTTTATCTGCAATTATGGCTCTGTCATAATACATTTTGTGTGTGTTGTTTTCCAATATTGTCTGTAGAATGTATTTGTATTATGATTTGTGGATGTCTAATAATTCGTGTTTGTTTGCAACTCTTGGTGTATTATTATTATTATTATTCCCTTGAAGTTTGAACTAATGAGGATTTTCTGTAGTTGTTTTGTTAATGTCATATATTAAAATAATAAATTATAAAATTTCCCCAATAATTTTTTAAAAAAGTAAATCAACATATGAAAGGAAATCTATGTACCTGACCTGGGAGGTATGTCTTGCAGATGCTTTTACAATGTTTCAAAACTCATATGTATGGTTTCTAGAATGGATTTTACCATTAATATGTGTATAAATTCCTTCCTAACTATCACCATTCTCAGTAAGTTAATAAAAAAGGAATTATGTGACACCAGCTAAATCAGGAGTTCCCAACCTTTTATAAGCATTGAGCCCTTACCAGGAAAAAAGGGTTTCCATTGACTCCCCTTCAAACAATTATTATTATAATTCTAAACTGTATGTTTATAGTACATAAACAGTGTTAAATTTAGATTTTGTTCAAATGGAAGAGCAATGTATGTACAAGTAGAATNTAAAGTCCACTGTACAGAAGAAAGCTCAAAAGGAGCTGAAAAAATTTTTAAATTAAAGAAAATTAAATTAAATATTTGATAGCATTGGCAAAACAGTGGCCAAGTATATGGTGCCAAGTACTACTTACAACAACTAAAAATAAATACATAAATGTAATGATTCAAATCATTCGATTATTTGTAATTATAACATCTCCAAATAAACAAGTTTCTGACTTCTATATATATTTGGTTTTTCTTTCCTTTTTTAAAATTTATTGTTAAATTATTTTAAAAATTAATTTTCTAATTGTTAAAATCAGATTTTTATATCAACTCCATCTGAAAAAATCATAGCTGATGCATTTTGAGATATAATAATACAATTTGTCAAATTTATACTTGAACATATTGACAATATATAAAACTGGTTTCATTAGAGCATTTTCAAATGTTAATAGAATAAAATAACAAACAATACAATATATGGAAAGGTTGCCCAAATCTCACCAATTCTACATTGTCAAACAATCGGGGTGTCTGCATAGAAAATCGTTTATGACAAGTTCTTCTGAATGTCAGATGTTATTTTAATGTAAGATACAGTAAAGTACACAGTAATATGTGAGAAAATATGATTTGAATCAAATTGTTATCATATTTTCATTTATTGCACTCGTTGCAATATGCTGATTGACAATATGTATATCTGCATAACCAGAATGAATGCCTTTTTTTATTGTGCTGATTTTAGTTGGATATATAATCTCCATGAATAGCAAAAACTGTTGCACATCTGCATAACATGGAATTGATGAGATTACTGATGAGATGTTGGGGAATTCTTTGCCATTCCTTACTTGTTAATGAAAGCAGTCACATGCTCCCCTTATTGTTTTGACCAGTGATTTTAATATGAATTAGCCTCTTATTCCCTCTATCTTTTGGGTCAATTTTGAAATACAATGACCATTAATATCATCATAGTAACGTGGTTATGACTATCCATATTTTGTTTGTAGTGTACGTGATGAAAGAAAATTTAGGCTTTTCATTGTTTTTATAATGTTTTGGAGTAAAGATAAGCTAAATTATTTTTATTTAGTGCTATATAGTTAATATGAATATATTTCTCATAAATACAGTATAACACAACATTGATTATTAGGCACTTCTAAAGCTTACAATGTTAACTTCACAAAATAGCATTGTACCTGAAATTGCACCAGTGCAATCTGAAATAGCTGATTGATGATATTATTATTATTTGGTTTATTTTGCAATGATCTATAAATGAAAGTATGAAAAAGGAGGTGTAAAAATATACAACATTCTATTACAAAATATAATGATGATAGAATCAAATTAAATGAAATTTCTTGTAAATAGGAAATCCTAAAGAAAACTTTTTATGTTTAATGAAAAAGTTATCAGAAAAATTCAATTTGTTAGTAATTCTGCAAATGAAAGATTTTCAGTTTCCAATGGTAAAACTATTAATGAAATCAGAGATGTTATTTACAAATTTGAAGAGGCTATAAGTTCAAAGAATTAACTTAACACTTTATCCAGCAACATACTTTACTCAAAACTTTACAAATGTTTTCAATCTAATTTGATAGATCTTCCTTCCATAATTCACTTAAAAACATATTTGGATATTCCAAATAGAACATTTAAAAAAAAAAAGCATTTGGTATAACTGAAATTTTCATCAAGACTCATGTTAAAATTCAAATTCTAACAAACTTAAATATTTTTCTGATTCTTTGCAGACACACTAAGGTGACATATATCAACACTTGGCAACTTATTGACTATTTATTCAGTTGGGACGCCTTTTACATTACGCGTTTCGGGCATTGGCCCCTCTTCAGCCAACTAGACATAAAAAATAAAACATGAGAAAATTTGTACAAAAATACGCGAGTAGATAAACTGTTTTTTTAAAAAAATTTTTTTAAAAACATACCTAAAACACAAACCACTATTGTACAGATGTCGTACAGGATGGACAATTTCATATTTCATATACAACTTGGAGAATGTGTTGTAATTGTCAATCTATTTATTTGAATTTTGTGTAAATTATAAGAAAGCCATATTTAAAAGCCCAGTAGTCAAGCTGTTATCTACGACCCTGTTTGTTCTCCAATGATTATCGTCGACCTTGTTTGTTCTCCAAGTTGTATATGAAATATGAAATTGTCCATCCTGTACGACATCTGTACAATAGTGGTTTGTGTTTTATGGTATGTTTTTAAAAAAATTTTTTTAAAAAAACAGTTTATCTACTCGCGTATTTTTGTACAAATTTTCTCATGTTTTATTTTTTATGTCTAGTTGGCTGAAGAGGGGCCAATGCCCGAAACGCGTAATGTAAAAGGCGTCCCAACTGAATAAATAGTCAATAAGTTGCCAAGTGTTGATATATGTCACCTTAGTGTGTCTGCAAAGAATCAGCTTAATAACAACAACACGGTTTCATCAGAATCAAAAACTTAAATATTCAAAACATGTTCCATTCTTATATTCAAACAACATATAAACCAACACAGAATTTAATATATTATACTCAAATATAGAAATAAAAAATAAATTACCATACAGCAGTATATAATAACTATCTAGAAGGTATGAAAGAATGTCATGCCTGTTTATCGGAATTATAAAAAATTTTCCATGCAATCAAAATGGTTTTTATATTTTCTTTATTTGTAGATTTAAAAATTTTTAGCTGCTTAAGCAATCTTATGTGTGCTAAATTATCTCTCATATGCAACATTTTAGCATTTTCAAACTTAAATACCCTGGCTCATTCCATGTTGATTTATAGAATATGGCTATTAAAGAGATGTGAAGCAATTCTTCCTTGGCCATCAGTAATAGAGAAGAGCCTCGAAAACTCGGCCTAATGTGGACCGAAGGGTGGCCGAGTTTGTGAAAATGCTGGGTTATCAGGAATAGGGTTAAAAAAGGATAAGTATGCATGTTTCCTCAGAAAATATTGTACTGTACTTGTATGTATTGTTTGCTTGAGAATACAACAGAGAATAAACTGCCCAAATACCCTTAAACAAAGGAAAAGTACATACTTTATGAAGGCATAGAGCCTTTACTACATGAAAATAAAAATTAATAAATACACTATGTACAGTAATTTACCTGATAAGACAGACCTCAGAAAAATACTTTATGAGGCATAAAGCTGTCTATGATGAAAATTAATTATCTAAGGTTATTTTTGCCCTGCCAGGGTGTGGTTGAGTTATCCGGAGTGCCGGGTTATTGAGTGCCAAGTTTTCGAGGCTCTACTGTACTAGGAAATTCAAGTACACTCTGATACGATGACCTATTTCCTTGGAAAATGACTATTTGACAGTGATCTGGGAATGTTAGAGGATATTAATTTTGGCATTATCTCTTTGGAGGAACAACTAGCATTCAGATTACATAGTAAATATGTTAAAAAGTTCAGATGGATATTCAAGAAACAGAAGATACACACCCATACCAAGGCCATGTTAAAGTGTTAATTTTACTTAAGGATCCTGAAACTATGATGCTGGACCTGGAAGTAATGATAACAGACTTTAATAACATCAGTAAAGAGTATTTCAGGTGGAAGATGGTATTTAAATTGCAGAAAGAAAAAACAAGAGTTGAGGACAGAAGATTTTAGGCCAACATTGAAGCTAGTGTAACCGACACACCATGATGAGCTCACCAAATACAATACTAATGCATAATGTTCAAAGGTGAATGACAAGTTTGTGGATACCTTACAGCACAGGGCATTAAGATTCACTCATACTAAGTTAGCATAGGTTTTGCATTCAGAGAGAACTATGTTATGTCCACCAGACATAACATATTCTGTGCTTATTCACCTTTACTAAAATCCATAAGCAAAGGATACAACTCAGACCCATAGCAGATAAATGCAATTTCCTTATGACCTTTGGAAAAGGGCATGCACAATTTTTTTATATGCATGCTTGCAGGGGTAAATGATATTGCAGATTCATACACTTTGATGCATATTGTCTTGGCAGACCAAGAGTACCTTTCACTTTACACTTATGCATTCTATGGCCTACAACATTTTATTTCAATTGCTGCTTTTGCTTCTGCTACAATGCTGTATCACCACACTATAACTATGTACATGTTTTGCTAGAAATAATTGTATTTGTATGGTTTTAAAACTCTTTATTATCAAATGTAATAATCACTTCACGCCAACTTTTTCAATATCAAAGGATACACTTACGTGTTGTGGCATTACAAATGCCACAACACGTAAGTGTATCCTTTGAAACTCTCTATTACTTTTAATAATTTGCTTAATCTAAAAATTATTTATAGATCAATTTCTTAAAGCTCAAATAGTTTCAATTTAAATGTTCTCATTTTAATAGCAGATAAAAACATATCTGACATATTGTGTATCCATTATTATTATAAATGCAATTTAAGTTCAAAAATGAACTTTGCTGCAACATACCTCAGCTCAGCATTTCCAAATAGCTGACTTGTGAGCTGAGCCTTACCAAACTCTAGTTCAGATATAAGAATAGGTATTTTGAATATTTAAGTTGTTTAGAATTTGAATTATAACACAAGTCTTGTAAAATGTTCTATCAAACATTTGTATTGATGAAAATTTCAATTATACCTAATGCATTTTAAAAAATGTTCTATTTATAAAATTACATATCTGAATATGTTTTTATGTGAATTATGGACTGAGGAAGACATATCAAATTAAGTTGAAAGCATTTGTAAAGTTTTGAGTAGAGTATTTTGCTGGATAAGGCATTATGTTGATTCTTTGAACTAATCAGTATCTAGTTTCTTTATTTTTCTAAATTTTCAGTCAAATGATTATAATCAAATGATATATAATACTAAAGTTGGCATATGAAACATTAGAAGCAAATCCTCATTTTAAAATTCTTTTTACTTTTGTCCTTACTTTTTACATTTCTGTGTATATATTGTCTACTACGACTTTGTTTATTAAACAGACTTATTAGGATTTCCTCTCATTGCAAATCAGAAACTTCACCAGTATAACAAGTTCTATTGATAAACCTCATTTAACAAACAAAAATAAAAATTGCTGGTAAAAATTTGTTTATTCTTACTTCCAATACATAATTTCAATTTTTATTGTTTTGTAGTTTTCATTACTCAAATCAATAAATAAAAAAAAAAAAATTGTTAGTGAGTAATACAAATTATTTAATTACTTGTAACAGTAATTGAAATACAGTTAACAGATTTAAAACCCATCTCTGTGCTTCAAATATGAGTATTTGGGAAACCTCTAATGTAATTTAAGAGAATAGTTGCCAAAGTGGCATTTGCAGAACTTTACATAAAAATAAACAAATTGTATGAAGTGAAAAAAGTCTAAAGATAGACTTTTTTCACTTCATACAATTTGTTTATTCACACATTCATATATATATATATATATGAATATATGATATATATATAGTATATATATGAATATATGGTAGAACAAATATGTATCTATATGACAGAATAATTGTTGTTAAAGGTTTTACATATGATTTTGTGGAAAGTGGTGTGATTTGGACTACTCGCCCCTATATTCTAAAATAGATAATTAAAAAATTTAATTGAATATGAACAAGTGAAATTTCACTTGTTCATATTCAATAAAAGAAGTCATCCTTAGAGCAAAAGAATTTAATAATCTTGATATTTTTCAGTTGATAAAAATCTTGAGAGAAATATGCTCTAAACATCAACTTTTGTTAAGTTGATGTGATGTTTTTACATCATTTTTGAATGTGATGTTACAATCAAGATTTTTGAATGTGAGGACAATCAAGATGTAATTCTAATTAATGTTTGAAAAATTAGAAACGATTCATGTTCAGAGTCTATATCTGTAAAGATCATCATCAATCAATAGATTATTAAAAGGCTTTTGTTTCTTTTAATAGATAAGAATAAAGAAACATAGATAATCTTAAAAAAACTGACAATTTATAATATTAAAATTCTATAAATTATTCTATAAACATTTTATCACACTTGAACGTTTATAAAATAAAATAATCATGAAAAGGCAATTTAAATTTGCAAAAAGACTTTGACAAATTATTCTTGTTCTTAAGAAAACATTATATTTAAATTCTAAACATACATCAAACTATATATAAACATATACCACATAATTACTAGTTATATGGTTTCATAAGCCATAAAAACGTGCAAGAATATCAATATATACTGTACATTAAAAGAAAATTGCTAGAAAACCAATTTTTAACTTTAAATTTTTCTATTTCGTACTAAATTTTCACCACAAAATATAAGAGAAATTCAATTATTTTGTATTTAAATTGATGTATTTTTTGGGGGAGGATCAGTTTGTCGATTACCTCTACGAAGAAGATACCACATTCAAAAATACTGTATATGAGGATCATTGTTATTGCTAGAAGTGCATTTTTTCCACATAATAAACTATAATATCAGTTAATAGGAACAGGACATATAAACACAAACAGCTGTTATTCAAAAACGTTTCCAATGAACGATTCCAACGACCTCTAGCGGTGTTCTATTACTGAATTTACGAAATAATTTCTAAATTTAGTTAAGACGATTTAATAGCTTATATGGACGATAAACATGGATTAAATATTTCTGTCCAATCAGATAAAATTAGCCGTATTCGTTGGACGACTACCGAGAGTCGAAGTAAACGGAATGTATGTATCTTTATTAATGGCCATGAAATGCACCGTAATGCCCTCTAGAGGAGCACTTTTACGTGTTCAAGATTGAACATTTTTTTTGATATTTATTATTAAATAAAATATCTGAAATCATGGTTTAAGACGTTATAATGTTTGTAATCAGAAATGCAAAATTTAAGAATATAAAGTAACGCTTTTATGTAAAATACAGTAATAGAAAAATGTGTTAGTTGCAATTGTGAATCCTTGTGGACCCCATTTTAGCAACAAAAGAACTGTTACCATAGCCTCAGTTAAAGTGACTCAACAGTCTAAGTAGGACAAACTATTCAAACCGTTTTATTATTTAATATAGTCTACTACCCTGAAAATTGACGTTATCAGGTATACACAAAGAAATGCTTCATATTCACTTTTCATACTTTTTTCTTTAGAATATGTCAATTTGTAATGTACAATTTATTGTCATCTTGAAGAAATCTACACGTGATTATTGGTGAACTATTATTTTACTTGTTAGAATATACTCATTTTTTTTTTAAATTATTGGCACAATTAATTAGTTTTAAAAATAAAATGAATGTTTTATTTTTTAAACTAATTGAACAAATGAAATAAATTTGTTGTACAGGTAGTTTTTTATAAGAATTTTTACTTTTAATTTTAATTTTCAGTTTTAAAAACTTAATTTTCTGGAAATTGTCAAACACTGTTTTTTGGCATAGAGCCTCTCTCATTCTTTGTTTAAAATTTTCTCTCTGGATCTTTGACAATGTAGAAAATATCTTTGAGTATATATTTCTATATAAATATCTTTAATTAATTTTGTTTTTAAATTATAAACTAATTAAGAAAAATTTATTATGTTGGAAATTTAAATTATTACTAAAAAAAAAGAAATTAATTTAATAGCAAATGCTTGCAAAATATCAGATTAATTGATAACAATCAAATTACAGATAAAAGGATATTATATTAAAACTTAAAAAGATCATTAAAATTTGTAACAAGTCTACGTATCATTTATTTGATGAAGATATATTTTAATCTGATTGTTAATTAATTGATCATTTCATATGCTTGTTTACATTTGAGAAAATAAATTTATCAAAAATTATATATATTTTATATACTTTTTATTATACTTGCATGATAAATATGTTTATTATTAAATACTGCAATTTCTAAAACTTGTGCATTTTATCAAAGATGTAATTATATAAAAAGTATTTTCAAAATTAAAAAAAATTATAATTAAGTATGATATTTATTTATATTTATTAGTTATTTTGATTTTTAAAAAAGTTGCAGAATAAAACATTAAAAAATTCTGATTGATATATAGTCTATCATATAACTTCAATGGGTAATATTTAATTCTCTTTACAATTTTTAGTTGATGGTGCATTTATGTGACTTTATTTTGAATAATTCTACTCCTGAGAACATTAGCAACATAATTTTGAAATTGTTAGTTTTGAGTTACTGCACTGTGAGATTCATGATCAGTAAAATGTGTGTGTCATGTCAGTATATTTTACAAAATCTTTAAAACTTATTCAAATTTTAATGCATTAGTGAGATAACTAAAATAAAAAATAAAGTAACAAAAATTAGATATGAACTTAAAAGAGAAAAAAATTATCCATGTTACCTGAAGGTGTTCTAACTACAAAGAAAAAAGTGAATCGGATAACTCAAATAATTAAGTAGGAATGAAAGATTGAAATTTCAACAAAAATTCTAAAAACAATTATCTCAAAACAGCATTTTTGGAGTTATGTGACTAATGTTCTCAGCAGGCGATATAATATGCATCAGTTGATGGTGATGGTTCAAACTGATCCAAGAAATAATTTACTGCAATAAGCAAGCTGAATATTGAGTGAAAGGAAGATATAGGATTTTTCTCCTACTAGCTCATTTTAGCAGTCATATAATTTTTTTTTGTTTATCAGCAGTTTGTAATAAATACTATACATAACTTTTATTTTATATACCATAAGTAGATATTTGACAATTATTTAGCATAAATATATCAATCATTTTTAAACTAAATATCCAAAACACTTGTCTCAAATATAAAACAACCTGGAAGCATATTGGATAGTGATTGCTGTAAAAAAAAAAATTTCTAACACTATTGATATTACAAATTTTTAATTAATATTTTAATTGAAGGATATTAAGTTGGTTTCAGGATGAGTATTATTTTAATAATCAAGGTGAACTTTCTCAGGCTTGAATGTCATAAAAGTAAAACTCAAGCCTGAGGATGTTTAAATATTAACTTGAATTGTTTCAAGCAGAATCATCACTTGTTAATTTAAAAATATTTATTAAAAATTTATAACATCAGCAGAAGTATTATTTTTCCCTTTGTCTCTTCAGAAAACATTTTGCCATCATAACTTATTAAATAATAATTTTCCTGTATTGTAGGAATAATAGTAAAAATGTTTTAGAAATTATATAATTCTATGGTAAAACTGAAAATGTAAGTGTCACGATTAATTTAAAGATTGATTAATATTTTGAAATTATATTATAGATTTGATATTTATATTGGTATATTTCCTGTCTGAGAAACTAATAGTTTTATGTAAAATGTATCAATAATTTCAGAATTAATGTAAATTTTGTAAGGAAACAGAATATGCTCATAAAATTATAAATTGTGCACAGTTATAAATAAAAAATATTTTAATAACATAAGATCATTTTTAATAATTTAAAAAAATGAATTTATGGAACTTACAATATTCACAACTATTCAATTGAACATTACAAAATCCTACAATCTTATTATGTCACCTGAGGTTTGCTGAAAGAAAATTTTTAAACAAATGTTGAAAATTTTAACCTATTTCTTTTTTAATCAAGCTTTTGTATCCATACTAATGGATATGGAAGGCTCAATTATAAAGTGGGATAAAGCAAACATTTTTAAAATAATACTCTCTCCATCCATTGCTACAGATATGGAAAAAATAGATATACAAGAGCAAGATTAAAGAACAATGCCTGAATGCTAGGGATGCAAATGCAATTACCTTTAGCTTGGAAATATGTCATAGAAAAAAGATTAGGGGAGAAAAACCCTTGAGTAATGTGTCTCCTACAATCAACTTTGACTTTACTTTTTATGTTATACTTTCTTAATTTTTGTTTTGTTAAGTTTATATTTTTCATAATCCATTTATTTAATTCGTGCAATTTTAAATTTGTATTTATAATAGTTTAAATGAAAAAATTCAAAACAGAATGTTCTATTTTTGGAATAATTTCTTAAATTTAGTTCAAAACCTGAAGATTGCCTATGGTAATAGATTGAAAATGTTTGTTATATAAAGAATTTTCTCAGAAAATCTCAGGTAATGTAATAAGATTGTAGTCTCTCTCTGTTCTCAACTGATATGAATTATAAAATCCTTTTGCAGAATATAGCGTGCTTGTTTTACTAATTTTAATTGTTTATGTAATAATTCAGAATAATTTTTGTAAATATTTTGCAGTTAAGAAATTAATGAAACCAATTCTTTTATTTTAGTTTATAGGATAATGCAATTTAACCAGATTTTTCTCACATAATTTTTCAATAAAAAAAATTTTTTTTAAACTATTTTTCCAACTAATGAATGGTAATTTATAAGCTAGATACATGCAAAGTTATAATAAAATTAAGCTGAATGTAATAGTTAGATAGTTTTGATTTGTAACTTTTGATGTATTAGATCAGTGTTTCTCAACTTCTAACGAATCGTCACCCCCTTCAATAAAAACGTTACATAGTATTGCCCCCTTCACTACAAAATTCCGATGCTGAAGGACAAGGTTAACGCTGAATTCATACTGCATTGAATAGACTAGTGACTAGTATAATGTTATTTGTTTAATTATTGTACGATATAATGAATAAAATATCTAATTATTCTTAATATAATGTTTTACTATATCTCCCAGAAAATTGTTTTTTGCCCCCAAAATATAAATTGTTGCTAATCGCCCCTGAACATGGAAAAACTCCCATATGGGGGCGATATTGTCCCCGTTGAGAAACACTGTATTAGATTGTTCTTTTCCAGTTAAAAAGTAATTTTTTTTCTAATTATTATTAACTACATGCACTCAACCCTTTTTCAAGACAATGAAACCCAAGGGAGTATATTTGTATTCACAATCTTTTTTTCACCCCTTAAAGACACTAAAATGAAATAACCTAAGGGCCAACTCAGGTTAAAAAGTTTCAAGGAATTCAAGTTAACCAGTTTGCTTTACAAAACTAGTTAACTTGAATTCCTTGGAACTTGGTTAAGATGTTATGCTATTGAAAGAAAATGGCTTCAAGTATGTGTGACTGAGTTATCCAGTCAGGCTCAAGTTAACCAGGATTTACTGTATAAGATTTTATTTCCATTAATTCTTATAAAGAAAATTATAATGGATTTCCAGACTGCAAAAAAGTATCCATTATCAAAAAAGTAAAAACAATATAAATGATTTTAATTAGATGTACAATTAATTTCTTAATCTTAACTTTTTAAAATTTGTTTAATAAGTAACAATTAAAGAAAATAGCAGATAAATAACGCTCATATACCCATCAGTTCTTCCTGAGAAAATTATAATAATCCAAAGTCACTTGAATTTCACCAAAATATAATGATAAGCATCAATTAGGGAATACGTTTTTTTGTTATGGTAAGATTTTAGAATATTAAATTAAATTTTAGACAGAGATTAATTATTGTTACATTGAAATTTTGTAATATGAATTTTCATTAAACAGAACAACATATTTTGAACTATTTTACTGATCATAAACTCACAATTTCTATTTCTACTAAAAATAATTGGGAATTGTTAAAAAATGGATTTCCTTCTGTCACTGACTGTAGAAGAAAATTCCATTCAAATGAATATCATGCACAAACAGACAGAATTTTTGTGCTTTGTCTATGCTTCAATTAAATCTGAAAAATTTATTAGAGTTCCTGATATTTCTAACTAATTAGTCACTAATCATTACTTCTTATCCATTAGATAAGTTTCACTGCAAAAATTGAAAAATTTACAACGCAAACTATTAAAGCTTGTTAATATGTGTACAATTTATAGGTACGCATTTAAGGCTAAGGTCCAAAAGTATAGAATTTTTATGATTTAGTGGTAGAATACAAGATCTTAGAATTCTATCAAAATAAATCAAGGGCATGAATTATCTGACATACTTTTGCTGACATTTCTAAATAGGTAGGTCTTTGTGTTGTTCTCTTATGACTTTCATCACAAAGAAACAATTTTGTATTTTAAACTAATAAACAATCTTTTAAAAATGAAAAGTATTTTAATTGTCTGATATTTTTGAAGCAGTATAACTTTGT